TATTCTAGGGCACAAAATTCTAATAAACTTACCGGGTAGTTTTATTAATAAATTTTTTATGAGGCTTAGTGAGACGTTATATTTTCTTATGTTTTCTATTTAATACAATTTTATAGTAAATTTTAAATACGTGCATGCATGTCTAATTTACTAAATTAATATCTATATAAATTTCACGTTTTTTCTAATTCGATTTTATTGATTGTTTTTCAGCACCATCTTATAGATTTTTCGTTTACAAATACTCGTTTATGGGCTGTTTGGAAAACCACAGAGTTTCATAGATCAGTTGTTAAGCATGCTACCATTACAAAAAAATATGAACGACTTGAATGTGTATGGGAATCAGCTATATTAGAACAAATATCTGATACAGACTGTGTTAGCACTGATCCCAGCATTGATCCGCGACAAGCGTATATTAATCACATATTTAAACCTGGAAACTTTTCGTTATTAGATATTACCAAAGCATTAAATGTTTATCAAAAACAAAACTCTTTTAATGAATTAGTTCTATCTTCATTAGAACTAAAAGAAAAAGTGTGCTTAGCGGTAGAATCAGAAATTCAAGCTGAAATAATGGATTATGAACTAACTGACGAAGATTACTTAGAATGTGTGAATCGCTGTTGGTCTAAATTTTACTCATGTGTTCAACAGTACCATGAGAATGGATCACGCCCCGTCGGTGTATTGCTTTTACCTGAAGTGCATGGTATAATACTTTTAAAGAAAACGTCATTTTCTCTTTTACGTCCAATGGAAACGCTAGAACAATTAATGCTATGCAATAGTAAAACTCATTCAGCACGATTTAAAACTGTCCCAGGCTTTCTCGAGGATGATAGTCAATACCAAGATGTTATGACTTTACTATCAGCTTTAATAACAATTGAAGAACATCTTACGGATAATTTTAGATACCATTTCAAAAAGGAACTTCACCAGTTAAACAGTCCAGATGTGGTTATCGAAAGATTTTTGGCTGAATCTGTGGTCGAAGCAAATTGTAGAGTGAGTTCATTTTTAAAAAACTTTTTATTCTTCGCCAGAATCCTGCTTATATTTTAAGTGTAATTAACTTACTTTACAGTACTTAGCAGTTTTTGAAAGCTTCCTGCATTTTGTTCTGGTATTTTCTTTAAAGTTAAGGTATATTCAAACGATTTATTAATATTAAAAGTACAAATTTAGAGATGCATCTGTTTTCCTAACGGTAGATTTATGAAATTTATCATTAAGGACAGAATAAAAGGTAGTATGATTATGAAGACCGTCAATTTAAAAAAATTTATTGCTTCAAACTAAAAAAATAGTTGAAAAGAAACAAGTGTACAATAATGCTTACATCTAAACCAATTTATTCTGTATATGGTCTTAAATAAAATAAGTAACCAAAATATCGTTTGATCTACCTGAGTATTCCTTGTAGGTGGTAACATACAACTTAGGAAGTAGGGTATAAGTCATATGCACGTACTGTAAAAAAAAGGAAATAAGCTAAAAAATAGAGACAAATTCTGTTTTCTTTTTAATGTACTGGAGTACTTCAAATAGTATAACTTAAAAAACTTTAAAGTAAATGTAAGAGTAGTGATAATAATGCTGATTGTATTGCGAGGTGCATAACATCCATTTTACGTCCAACAAAACTAGGATATTTTGGAATTTGTTCAGTAAAATAATTGGTGGTAAAAGTTATAGATCTTTTTATAGATAATTTCCTAATCTCAACACCTCAAGCTTTAAATATATTTAGGTGGTTTCTTATAGTTTTCACTTGAATAAGCTAAATTGTTTTTCTGTTTGTTTTCATTTATTTCTTTTAACATTTTGGTTTATAATAAGCCCTGCCTTAACTTTTTTTTTTTTTTTTTTAATCTTCTAACTTGTTGAAAATTATACTTTTTTTTTAATAATAATATTAAAAGAATTGAAAGTAAATGTATTATGTTTCCAATAATAATTGTACGTAGTGCATTTGGTAAGAAATACAATTGAAATGTCTAAGGTACAAACATAGAATGCCTGCATTACTTAGGCATCACAGTTTGTACGTTGTGCCCTTGTAACTTAATGTACTATTTTGGCAAAAGTTGTAGTGTTTACCCCATCCTCTGTCTGTCAGAGAATTTCGTTTGGGTAGCCATGTTAAAGAACTTCGAGAGGAATTTGTAAAAAACAATCATTCAGCAGTAACATATTAAATTTTTTACAATGTTACCTAGCTGAACGTGGTATACTTGATACGCCCCTTCATTGTACACACATAATATATAGGCTTCGAAAATAAATGTTATTCACTATTTTATAATAGTTTTTGATAGATTGAGAATAATGTACAGCTAACATATATTTTACTTATGCTTTTAAGGGCACTGTAGATACAGTTGAAGTTCCCTATCTTATCGATACCATTGCTTAAATTGTATATCAGTGTAACATTAGTTTTTCAACAGCTAGCTATTTTGTCAAAAAAATAAGAGTCGACGAACATTATTGATACTTCAAAGAATAAATTAAGCCCAAACTTGGCAAGATTAATTAATAATTCAAAGTTAGAAGTAAAAAATCGGACGTTTGACTAATAAGGTATGATTTTCCACTTTTCTTCTTCATAATTAAATATATTCTGCCAAAATTAAACTATTCTTATTCCTTGGAGATAAAAAAATAGGCGTCTGCTCTTCTTTTTTTCCAAAAATTGTGTAGATTAAATTACTGAAGCATATAACATCAACTAACAGAATAAGACGTAAGATATTACATTGAATTAATTAGTTTCATATTTTAACGATCAACTTATATTTTACTTAGTTCACTATAATTAATTGCTTTACAAATTGACATATTAAAAAAAGAGTAGACGCACATTCCTGAATGGACAAGGAATAAATATAGCTTGATTTTGACGAGATCCATTGAAATATAAAGAAGAAAAGTAAGAAATCAGATCGCTCCTTATACAACATCTGTTTTCTCACTCTTCATCTTGAATCCTCAATTAATCTTGCCAATTTTTGGCTTGATTTGTTCTTTTAAGTGTCAAGAATGTACTTTTATTTTTTTGACAAAATAGCTAATTGTTAAAAAAATAATTTTATAAAGTTATACAGTCAAAGTAACCTTATCGATAAGGTAGGGAACATTAATTATCTCTGGACTGCCGTTAAATTACAACTTTAAAGGAGTATGAAAAAAAAACATTAGTGCGCCATCGAGATTTGTAACATAAGATTCGTTGAAATATTGAACAGTTTACAGGACTTATGCAGAACCTGGGAAAAGGAAATAGTTACTAACGAAGGTAAACGAGAAAGTTATGTTTTTCATTATTTCTCAATGCTTATTGATTTGATGAGTGGAGAGGATGAGTAGTAAGTAGAAAGAAGAAATCGTATTTCAAGCACGGATGTAGCGATTAGATTTAAATCTTCTTCTTACTAGTGAAAGAGTTAGTAAGTACCTTATCTAGCAGGTATCCAGCAACGTTGAAAACCGAAAGAAAAATATTCTCTTTCACACGTATACGAAAGGCGTAAAAGTGGTTGGCATGTATATGAAGTATTGAGATAGCATAGTATACATACTTTCTATACCTGATAATGGATGTATATTCTTAGAGAAAATATGTTTGTATGGTGTATGTGCGTGAGCGTCGTATCTTAAGATTTCCTTGAAAAATTTCGTTTGTTAATTTTTTTTTTTTTTTTTTTTGTTTTTTTTTTTTTTTTTTT